TAACTATGTTGTAATAAAATTTTTGTGAATGTGGTCTCTTTCTGTCTCAAAATGTCTTATGGTAGTGTACTCTTCTTTTTCTTGTGATTATATAAGTTAATAAAATGCCTAGATGTTGAGATACCACAACAGTAGATCTGATGAGTGAGCCGGCTACTAAATGACTAGCAGGTTTGCAGCACGTACAGCGTGAGGATGCTGGACAGAGATGATTTGCATCCAGGCAGGGTAAAGCAGGACAGCTGAGATTTCATCACTACTCAGAGCAGTGCACAATTTAAAACTTATGAATTGTTTATTTCTGGAATTTTTCATTTAATGTTTTTGGACTAAGGTTGACTTCAGATAACTGAAACTGCAGAAAGCAAAACCGTGGATAAAGGAGGACTACTGTACTAGCTTTGTGATCTTGAACAAATTTCTTAACCTCTCTGTGCCTTACTTTCCTCATTGTCAAAAATCTGATAGGTAGTAGTTTCTACCTCAAAGGGTTGTTAGAAGTTTAAATGAGATAATAAAGGTAAAATACTAACAACAGTGCTTGGCACATAGTAAGCTCTAGAGAGTATTTCTTATAATATTACTATGGTCTGCAAACTGGCCCCTGCACCCTCTCTCTGATCTCATCTTCTCCCACTCTCTGCCTCGTTCACACATTCATGCTACTCTATTGTTGCCCAGGCTAGAGTAAGTGCCATGGCGTCAGCCTAGCTCACAGCAACCTCAAACTCCTGGGCTCAAGCGATCCTACTGCCTCAGCCTCCCCAGTAACTGGGACTATAGGAATGTGCCACCATGCCCGGCTAATTTTTTCTGTATATATTAGTTGGCCAATTAATTTCTTTGTATTTATAGTAGAGACAGGATCTCACTCTTGCTCAGGCTGGTTTCAAACTCCTGACCTCAAGCAATCCACCCGCCTCGGCCTCCCAGAGTGCTCAGGTTCCTGTTCAAATGCTACCCTGACCAACCTATTGTTGGTTGGTCCTCCTTGTTTTTCCTTCTACCAACCTTTGTTTCCTCCTACCAACCTTTCTCCACCTCATGCCTTGGCTGTCCATTTTTAAGCCATATTATCACTACCTGACATTACATTGTATCTGCTTATCAATTACTTTCCCCTCCAGACCATAATCTCCATGAGGACAGAGACATTGCCTCTTTTATTCCTGCCTGAATCCCTGTCTCTTAGAGTATTGCCTGGTGGATAGTAAATGCTCAATAAATACTTGTTGAATTAATTTTTATAAATTGTATTGTTTTCTATCTTTTCTATAATTGCCCTTTTCCTTCTGTCTTTGAGGCTTAACCTGTTCTTTTCAACTCTCTTTTGCCTATTATCACTTGCTCCAAATTATGGGTAAAGAAGAACAGTTCATACAATCCAGGAAAAACATATTTTGTCTTTGAAAATCCATGAAAAATAGATCTAAGCAGAGAAATGCTGTGACTGTAAAAGTATTCTTAGGCTAAACTAAAATTGACTGCAACCCAGACAAAGGATTGAACCTACCTAAAGAAAAAAATTTAATCTGAAGACCAATTAAAATTGATCTTCTTGGGACAAAGCAAAGGAGTGAGTCTTTGGGGCCTTCCTAGGATGTACCAGGTCTCTGCTAGTTGCAGTAGGGCCGGTAGTAGTGATAGGGCTTGTGGTGGTCATTTCACAATAATTTGAACTCTATGCCCCTAAACTGGTTATATAAAGTCTAGAGACTTTATATTTGCTATTAAGAGAAGCTGCCACTTGATGGCAAAAGTTTTAGTATCAGCCAAGGATAACAAATTATCAGAAATATAATCTCATTAAAGGAACATTTCAATCTAGAATAAGCAGAATATTTAATCATCTTGGGTATCTCCTATTTGACAAGCATGTGCTTGGCTTTAATCAGAACAGGCCCATCAAGCTTCTGCTCTTGGCCTGTGCATTCAAATTCTGACCAATTTTTAATCATATATGGAACATTTGTGTTCTCTATGAACCTAAATACTTACAGTACATTTTAGACATTTGATGTCAAGGGGCAAGCTTTTATTTTTTTAAGTATCATAAATTTAACCAAATGGAGTTTTCCACATGTCCTATGAACCAAGTCAGGGATACACCATTTATCCCAGCCCATATGAGTTGGTGGCTGAACTGAACGCTCAACTCTAGGCCTGTTTCTTGGTTAAGGTCTGGGAAGGAAGCACACAATGTTTGTTCTCTCTTATTTCCTACTTCTGAGCCCAAGCAAAAATACTCAGGTGATGCAGTATTTCTACCCTGGGGAAGTGACTTGCAAAGAAAGTGATATTAGTGACCCTCTTAGAACCAGAGATGCCAACACCGGTTTTCTGTCCAAACTCCTTTCTAGGGAAAATGTGCAGAATTGTGTCAAGCCTCAGGGGTGACCTCGGTCTGGGACTCAGCCCTCTTACAATAATTCTCCTCATCCCATCACCACCCTTCCATTCATTTCCGTTCCTCAAGAGTCCCATCTTACCAAAATTGTTGTGTCAGAAGTGAATACTTAGTTTGGCTTAATTGATTGCTTCAAGAGATAAAGGTTAGTAATACCAGAAATACAAACATTCTTGCAGCGAGGTCACATGAACAGGTGCAGTTTTCTTACTGATGCTTTTTATCATAGTGATCCTAGTGCCTGCTCCTTAAAGCCAGATTTGATACTGCTGCATCTTTCCTGAGGCCTCAGGAGAAAACTGTGACAACAATATTTTTAGTAAATTTCCCATATGCATAGCTACTTTTTTTTTTAAATGCAGTTTGACTAGGTGGAAACCTTCTACTCCCTATTCCTGTATTCTGTTTCCTTCAGGGTCCAGCCTTCTGTGCCGTCCAGGTGACCAATAAATAAATTAATTTGTGAAAATATGGGAGTCTCTCTCCCCAACCATGCAGCTTTACCTCTGTCCATTAAAGTACCTTTCAGATGGCAAAGCAGCTACCCTTGTCTAACCTGGAGCAGTGATGCGAACTCAGGGATTCCAGATCGAGTCAGGAATGATGAGTCTAAATCATTGAGCAGTTTTTAGAATGGCAGGTATATTTGTTAAGAATTGTGTTCAGCTGCGGGTAGCAGAAACACAACCACAGTGGCGTAACCAAATAGGAATTGATTTTTTTCCTGGGTAGCAATAAGCGTGGAGGCAGGTGGTTCAATGAATCGTCCCGATTGCTTCTAGCTTCTTGCTGTGCAGTCTTTAGCATGTGGCTGTCATCCAAGAATAGGGGAAGGGGGAGAGCAAAAGGATGCCAAGTCTGTCCTTTTCTTACTAGGAAAATAACGGTTTTCCTTGGAGTTCCACCCAGGAGACTTCTGCTTATAACTCTCTGGCCCGAACTCAACTAACTACATGCCACCCTTAGCTGCAAGGGATTCTGGAGAGGTATCTTTAATTGGGCACATTGTTGCCTTGAATGAAATTGGTGATTGGTTGGTAAGGAAGAAGCTCAATCATTAGGCAGCAAGCACAGTCTGCCCTGAGGAGACACATGACATCTTTTAAATCCAGTTTTAAACAATTACCTGAGTGCTTTCTAAATATCAGTGTCTTGGTTATATTTCTGTGATGGCATAGAGGTGTTTGGTTGTGTTGTTTGTCTAGGAGAGGAGGTGATGCCATGTGTGGGTTATATCTTTCCATGCTTATAAAGAACAGTGGCTGTTTCCTGAACTTTCGCAATAAAGAGCTTTTGACTTACAATGTGCTAAATGCAAATGGAATTGAAGGACCATCCCTCCCAAAGTTCTTTGGCTTTTCAATATGATGAAACCCTATGGGGCCCATATTGTGGGCCCCAAGGACAACCACAGACAGAAATCCCTCTGACCCCTCACTTTGACACACTTTCTGTTTCTTTCATACTCAAAAGAAGAGAAGTTTTTCTTCTCAGGACTGTCCTTTTGGGCATGGGACCTTTTCTCCACGTTTTCTTTTTTGGTGTATTCTTACTTCGCCCTATCTGCTATATTCCACCTCTCAGTTAAGGTGTATTCTCAATCTTTCCTCCTAGGAACAAATGTGGTACATTAGACTTTAAGAGCCAGTGTCACTATATATTAATACTTTTTAATGTTCCTATAAAAGTCTGAATGGTCTCCTTTTCATGTTTTCTAATTTCATTTCCTATTCTAGGGTGCTAGGACAGAGCTTCAAACTAGTGTGATGTGAGCTAGGTGCAGTGTGTGAATCCATCCTTCAGCCTTCAGGGTGGTGGGGCAGAGCCTGAGGAAGCCAGAGCAGAGGATCCCTGTCTGTCATCTTGTATGCATGGCTTCTGTTTCTTCTAGTGCTCCCTACAAACATTACCATCTTCTTTGTACCATGAGATCAGAAAGCTTAGAAAGTGCTGCTTTCAGATCTGTTTGGGCATGGGAGTCACTGTCCTTTCTGTCTTCCTTCCACACAAAAACCTAAACACTCTCTTTTTCCTTTTCTCATCTTGTCTCAAGGTCTACTGCCTTTGGTCTTTTGTAAAAGACTGTCCTAGCAGATGTGATGACTTGGTTTGTGTTCCCTAAACACTGTTCCTGGAAAGCTGTGCTGTATCTTAATTCAGTTTCATAGCTTAACGCCTCTTTTGTTCATCTCGTCTTTAGTTCTGTTGTATTCTCCCAGGTTTGCTCTTCCTTTGCTTTTTGTAAAGGATTTTACAGATGGGAGGTTACCTGACCCCTTTCTTATAAATCAGCTCATTGCCGAAGCTGCAGCAGTTGCACCCTTTTTCTTTGCAGTTTTGTCTTTTGGCGACATTGACCACCGGGGCCAAGCCTAGAAGTGCCATCTTCTTTCCACAACTACCCCTTCTTTCTTTTGAATGCAAGTGTAGAAACTCAGGGTGACACTGTGCTGGGAGGTCATCAGTAGAATAGTGTTCATTACTATTTTCTCCCCTGTTTTTTTTTCCATTTATTTTAGAACTTGTGTTAGTCTTTGAGCCAAGGAAAGACAGGTTATAATTAAGCTGAAAAGTGTTTCTTTGGTTTTTTCAGATGAGAATTCTCCAGCCAACTTCTGGGATTCTAAAAACAGGGGTGTAACCGGAACACAAAAAGGGCAAATTGTATGGAGAATTGAGCCTGGGCCCTATTTCATGGAACGTAAGTAACCCAGTGTGAAATACAGCTTATTATTAAACATTGCCTAATATGTAGAAACCTATGGCTCTCTCTGAATGTTATTTTAATCGTTTTGAGTTTGGATTTACATATTTATGCCATTTAGCCTGATGTTGGAAAATGTATTGTTTTAGCAAATGCTCATTAAACATTGTTCACATATTTTGAAAAAAGTGTGTGTGTGTAAATATACAGTTGGCCCTCCGTATCCATGAGTCCCACAACCAACCATGGATCAAAAATACTCAAAAAATTAAAAAAGGATGGTTGCATCTCTATTGAATATACACAGACCTTTTTTTAAAATAATTATTTCCTAAACAATATAGTATAATAACTATTCACATGGCATTTACATTATATTACATATCTAAGTAACCTAGAGATGATTGAAAGTATGCTGGAGGATATGCATAGGTTATTTGCAAATACTACTCCATTTTATATAAAGGACTTGAATACCCATGGATTTTGGTGTCTGCAGGGGTTCCTGGAACAAATCCCCCATGGATATCAGGGGATGACTCTGTGTGTGTATGTGCATGAACACATATATTATATATATATAAATTCATGTATATACACATGACTGTGTTTATATACACATATATAACACACATTTACATACACACACATATATACACATGTACATATGCAAAAATGTATATATACATAAGTATATACAGTACATATATATTTACATATACTTTATTAATGTATGGTTATTTTAATACTTTATACATTTTTATTTACTATTTATTTATATTCATAATTAACATTTAATTATATTAATTTCAGGAAGCAGAAAGTAATTCAAGATTTTGGTTAATTTAAGAATTTTATTTTTGGCTTCAGAATACTTTTTTTTTATTATTTTTATTTTTTGGTGGGGGGGGGGCAGAGTCTCGCTTTGTTGCCCTAGCTAAAGTGCAGAGGTGTCATCATAGCTCACTGCAACCTCAAATTCCTGGGCTCAAGCTGTCCTCTTGCCTCAGCCTTCCCAGTAGCTGGGACTACAGGTGTGCACCACCATACCCAGATAATTTTTCTACTTTTAGTAGAGATAGGGTCTGCTCTTGCTAGAATACTTCATTGTCATTTTTGCCATCAACAGAATAACTTTGCATTTGGGTTTAAGTCTTTACAATGTGTTGATGAAGATAGTTAGGCACACTACTGTAGAGGTCAACTTACTAGGAATCAGAAATCAGCTGCAGATAACTCAACCATTGCCCAATTAATTCAGTATTATATCTATTTGTAAATTCAAATGCTTGTATGTAGTATTTGCTTCACAGAAATATCTCATCCATTTTTATTTTATTTTTATTTTTAACTATTTACATTTGCCACTGATATTATTGAGAACATAGTAAATATTCAATACATTTTTATGGACCAGATCAGGTGTCCTCAAACTACGGCCCGTGGACCACATGCCACCTGCCTAGGACATATATCTGGCCTGCTGGGTGTTTTTGCCGCTGCTGCCTGTTCTGCTTATCAGCCGACTTGTCCCGGGCCCACAGTGCACATTCTCCAACGGTCTGAGGGACAGTGAACTGGCCCCCTGTTTAAAAAGTTTGAGGACCCCTGGACTAGATGAATAAATGACTTACTAGTTGGTCCAGGTTAACTTCTATGTTTAAAGAATTTATTTTTTTTAATATAGAAAAAATGGGCTCCTTAAATTTTTCTGTGTTGTTGAGCTCTGTGTGAGCATTAAGATTCCTGTATGTAAAAGATTTAATATAAGAGAAAATGTGTGTATACTAATATTTAAGAACTGTACTTATTAAACCTTAAAATAAAAAGTTTGATTAAATGGAAAACTGCTGCAAGCATATAAAATTTCTATAATATAAAAAGTTATTTTAAAAGATTAATGTATATTACTTTGAATTGCTATTAAAGGCATGAGATAATTTCTTTCACCATCCTTAATGGTAGGTCAGCATTCTAGAACTTTCTCTAATCTGGCTTCTGCCCACTAAGGAATGTCTTCTTTTCATAGTCCAATTTTCTGGCTAGATTCTCTCTTTAAATCTTAAATTAAATATAGTTTTTAAGGGAAAATGCTCATGCTATAACAAAAAGCCAGTTAGGGGAGAGCAGATACATAGAGCAAACTCCCAGCTAATAGCATAGTATACAGAAAACAATTCGGAAAGAAATTTGCCAACATGTGAATTAGAGTTGTTTCTGGGAGGTGGAATTATGGGTGATTTGTTTTTCTTACCTATGTCTACTTTTCTTTACTTCCCAACATTGACCCTGCTGTAATGAGCAAAATAATTGATGAAAGAATGTGGGAAAATGGAATGAGAAATAGCTGGTTTTACTTTCAGTGTGATTTTTCCTTTGAAAAGATCCTGGGGTTTTAGAAGCTGGTCTAGCTGAGAAATATTTTCAACTGAACTTCAGGGGAAAAGGCAAAACCACCTGCCTGTTCGTTTCAAAATGCTAAAGGTTGCTAGTAATTATAGCCTGTTGATAGAGCGTGCAGATTTATATTATGAGGTTCATGTGAACACCTGGGAAGAAGTCAGTACCACATGCTGCTGTAATTTGGAAAATTATGTGAGGAAGAACTCATTTACAGAGTATCCCATTTGCTCTGATTGATTTTCCTTCTCCCCCTAAAAGTGTTAGAGATTCATAATGTCCTGGCTGATTAGGTGATAGTAAATATCTCTGTCTTGCTAAATGTTTCCTCTGCATCTCACTCTAGTATTTAATAGAAATGGGCTTGATATTGAAGCTAGGAATCGGGAATGAAGAAAGGAGTAGTTTTTTCTTTTCTCCTTTAATTTAGCCTTTCCACCTTAATTCTTCACACATAAAATTGAGAGTATTGTGTAGTGTGATTATAAAACTGGAACTATTCAGTAATGTATTTTTTAAGGACTGAGGAAAGTAGTCTAAGTTCAAGACAGTTAATAGGAATTTCAGAAAGATTCTGCTTTAGAATAAGTCTATCTTTATTAATCAGAACATGCCCCTGCCCCCGACATACATTCTTACCCTTACAATGTTAAAAAAAAAAAAAAAGTGCTGTTTATATCAGTGCATAGAAGTATAGCCCATGTTTTTTAAAAACCCAGTGTCTGGCTAGAACATTCTTAATGGGACTTCATAGCATCATGAAATTTTGCTTTACTCTCCAGAGCTGATGATGTGGAACTTAAAAAAAAAAAACTTGGAGGAAGGGGGCGGGGAAGGTTAGACAGCTGCTAAAACATTTTCCACCTCTGACCTCGGAAACATACAGAATTTAAAACTTTTGCTTTTATCTTCAGAAAAAAAATTTGTTTATCTTTAGCTCATAAGAAGACCAAACAAAGTAAAATTCTCTGAAAATTGATCTACCCATAGTCCAGGGCAAACCTGGATTTGAGCACTGTCTAAGCTATTTGCGAATGTACGATGGCTTTGCTTTGTCTGTAAATCCTCAGAAGAAGCAGGTGGCCCAGACTTATATTATTATAAGGCCTGCCTGAATGGATGCAAAGGACAAAGATAGATTTAATTATGGATAGATGACCGACCTTCCTAGGCATTTAAGAGAGGGATTAGTTTCATCTGTACTTATCATGAGACTATCAGCCATTCCTCAAGTGAACTTATGTGCAGAGAAGCTGAACGGGTCATCTTTGCAGTATGCATTCTTGAGTTTTAAAATTAAAGAGGTTTCAAAAGTTGTCTTGGCATGTCAGGATGTCTATTTTATTCTATGTAGTCTTTCGTAAATTATGGTCATTCATTCAGTCATATCAGCTTTTTCTTCTTCCTTCATTCTTTCTGTCTATCCATCCATCCATCCATCTCCCGTTTCACCTATCATGAAATGTTTGAGTGCCAACTTTGTACCTATTCTAGGTACTCACTAAATCCTAGATCAATGAGTGAGCTTAGAAATAGTAAACCTCATTCTGCATTACTGTGCACTAAATTGCTTTGTGACCATTAAGGATAATAGCTAAACATTGATATTTGTATAAATTATATGGTGATTTCACATATTTTCCTGTCTCAGCCCTGGTAAGTAGGTATAGGATTAGGAAACAGTATTAGAGGTGCAAATGGCAAGTAGGAGAAAGAGTCTCATTTCTGAGTGGCACTCAAGTTGGTGCCTTGCCAAAATACATGTGTTGTGAATGGCTTTTTATTTTGGCAAGATGGGATGTCCTCAGTCTTTTATTTTTATTATCAGATCTCCTACTCTAACCTTCACCATTCCTAAGCCCTTCCCACCAACATCAGAAGGGTCTTTTTGCCCGTTGGATGGAGATTTGTTGCTTTTCATTCTCCATCCTTATACTTGATGTTGTGGATTCAGTTAGTTCTGTAGTCCTGTTAGGTTCCTGCCACATATACACTGATGCTTTTATTTTGATCGTTGTTTTTCTAGTTTTAGCAGAGGAAAGCCTGGCTATTTGAGGCTCCATTGGCCCTTGTTAAAGAGAAGACAACTTGCGGTCACATATAAATGAAAAGGGAACACATGCCTTTGAAAGTGGGCAAATTTCTTCAAAAGCATGAGGATTAAAGTATGTTTTACTTTTTCACAAATTGTGTCCTCTGAATAAAAGAGCTGTGAATAGGAACCATAATATTAAGTGTTTAATAAAAACACACAGGGCAACGGTTAAAATCATGTTTTAGAATAAATTGCAATTAGCTTGATTTTTTGATTATTCTATTTAAATGAAATAGAGATGATTAAAGGAAGAAGGACATTTATATTCTATCTATCTTTATGGTTCAAAATATTCAACTTCTAGAAACTTGGGAAAAATCCAGACTTTCTAAATAGAAACAAGCTGCTAACTACTGCCTAAGTGAATCTTGTCTCTATTTAAGGTGATGGACGAGAGCCCAGTCTTTGGGGCAAAGGCATTTCTTGCAGGGAGTGGTCTGAAGAACGTTTTTTTCAGAGAGGATTTGAAATGTAACCTTATATAAATGCCTAAGGTTAATCTGAATTGAGATTACTTTTAAAAACTAATTTTGAATAGGTAATATATGGAAAGAATATAATGTTCAAAAATACAAAAAGTGAAAGTAAATGTCTCCCCAGCTTCAAGCCATTCTGAAGGCAACCACTGTTACCAGTATCAAGTTATCTCTCTGGAAATATTCATATACAAACTCAAGAATATAATCTTCTTTTAAACAGGTGATAGAGCAGTTGCTTTAAAATGCAGTGTCAGAATCACACAAATACAGAAACGCTTTTATTTAAGAACATGTTTAAGTTCCTAAACACTGTTCAAAGTCCCTTCTGCCTCCCCAGCCGCCTCTGCAATAAGTTCAAAGTGACAGCTCACAAATGATCACACCACCCCACCCTTCTGTGCCCTGGGGATGTCTTCATCTGTGCTCATGAAAGTTAGTAGATTAAAAAATTCAAAAACAAAGGGCCTTCTGTGTCCTATGAGCGTTTAAATAGAGAGTATCAAATCTTTATTTTGGTAACTCTAAAGTCACTGAGTAACTTTATATCCTAAAGATTATTGAAAGGGGCTAATATATTTCCATGATCCATGATTGGCTTCAGCCGTTCTGAAGGGACCTCAGAGAGAAGATGTCACTCGGGCTGTGCTCTCTTCCTCCTGAGGCTCAGCCAACAGTGGATCCTTATAGATTAACATGGAAGGTCTTACCCTTCTGATGCAGCATGCTTTTTAAAATGGATTCAAAATACTCTTGGTTTCTTTTTACAACCCAAAGGAATGGAGATATATATATATATATATTTTTTTTTTTTTTGGGTATATATATATTTGGGATATCGCCTGCCCCATCAAGCTATGGGAAAACCATTTAGGGTAGATGAGATCATTCATCGCTCCTTGGTCTGTATCCTCCATCTCCCCTGCTTGGGAACTGGACTCCTCCCTAATCAGATGCTCAGTCATCAGGCCTGTGCTTGCTTCCACCTGCCCTTGTATCTATTTCTCAAAAATAGCTTTGAATTCCCTCTTGCAGTTAGAGGTCACCACTGTAGCTGCAATAGAAGTATAGGCCCCTGGGCACCAACTCCCCTCTTCTCCCCTTCTGTGTATTCTGCTCAGCTACTTCTTCCAATCACCCAGATGTCCAAGTACATTAATCAAAATGCAGCTCTCTCCTGTACTCATAGGGAATTTTGTTTAGTTACACCTTTTTTTTTTTTTTAAATCATGCATGACCTCCTAAAACACTAAATAATGTTGGTAGATGAAAACTCCGTCTTAGAATGGAACATTCCTATGTTTTAAGGGGCAGGCATCTTCACTGATGTCCTGCTGAAGGAGCCAGCTAGTTTTCCATCCAGGTGCAAACAACTCCCAGTTCTGCCCAGGACTGTTTTTCTCTCTGTGTGGTTTTGTAGTGGGTGATCTGTGTAAATCCCTTCAGCTTTGCACTTCTGCTGCACAGCTCTGTAGCATTTTGGGTAGTAATGCTCACAAAATCTCTTTCTGTGCAATCCAGAATAAATTGATTGTATAGTTTCAGGGAGTCTATTTTGTTGTCTGGGTTGGAGATTTTTGCTATATCAAGGAATAAAATAACACCCAAAATGGGTCATCTGGCAAAGCTGGCCTGGTTATCGACATCCTCCAAATAAAAATAAACAATCACCTTTTTTTGGTCTCAGTCTGTTCCTAGCTAACTACTAAAACCTTAGAAAGGAGCAGATGGCATCCTAACTTGAGAGGGAGTTAGGGGAAGATGTCTTATAAAAATGCAGTTCTCTTTATTGAAAAATGACTGCTCACTCACTAACCATTGATTTGATCTTCGAGGCACTGCTGCAGGCAGAGCCATGGATTGCTGGTTCCCTGGCATTTAGAGTATGATACTAATGAGCTAGTGCCCACAGAAATCAATCCTCATGCATGTCACCAAAGCTTTGTTCTGCTTTGATAGTACTTGTGCTTGCTACTTAGGTTTGTTTTTGCAGAATTCATGCTATTGGTGTTGGAAGAATGCAAGTGGGAGAGTAAGGTTGGCTCAGATGTAGCCAGCTATTACTATATTTCAGAAATAACCAAAAACCTGTGTTAGTGTTCAGGAAAGCCATTTGCAGAAGAGTTCTTAGGGATCCAAAGTGATAGTCGAGGAGGATTCCTGCCTAGGTAGTCTTGCTATTCCTGAACTCCAGGATGCCCATTCCAGCTTCCCTGCTTTTCCCCCTTCTTATACCTAACTCTCCCTGACCTTATTTTTCTCATCCATTAGACGTGTTTTTTCCATGATGCCTTTCTGACTCCACTGTGTCCTCATTCATCTCCTTGGTCTCTGTGCTCTTCTACCTGGTGCTTTTCCTTTTTAGTGTTTGTGTTCTGGATGTTGTCATATCTGTGATTGTCATCTCAGTAGCTAGACCAGAAACCTTTCCTAATTCCCTTGCACTGTCTGGCACAGCACTGGCCATGTATTGTGACAGGTACATAGTAAAAATCTTTTGGCTGATGATACTCATTAAATTGCGAATTATTGGGTAGCGATTAATGCACATAATAGTAGGAGTCAATATTTTACACCACGACAGACCTCTTTTTGAGATTTAGTATTTGGTCCTTGATAGGAAGAGCATAATGATATAAACTCCTGGTGAAGAATTTTTCTGTAGTTATTACATTTTCCTCTTAAAATAAGGAAACCAAATACTCTGTAGGAGGCCATTTGGTACAGTCAGGAAAGTCAGGGGAAGATTAGCTTCCACGGGGAAATGCATTGAGCAGCCCCACTTTAATAATCCAGGTGACTCAGCTGAGAGGGGAACTTCCTCCTGTAGCTTAAGACTCTGCCTCAGGGGCCTGCCTGTCACCAGGATTGCCTACATAGAACAAGCCTTGAGAAAATTGCATCTCACAGTGACACTTCAGTGACTCAGATGCTCTGTATACAGAGGAATTCTGAAGACCGTGGGTTTGTCTTTGCCACACTTTGGCTTCATGCTCTTTGGAATTGTAGTTACTTTCCAAAAACCATAATTGACATTTATATTGCTTTCTATCAAGCTAAAATTATCAGAAGAAGTTATGAAATATATGGATTTTCACATGCTATGATATATATATCTCATATCTATATGAGATACATATGATTTATATGCATATCTCAATCAGTTATTCCTAGATTTGATCCCTGTCCAGTGGACGTATTTAAGTGACTTGTAAAATTAAAATAATACAGATTTCCAGACCCCATCCCTAGAGAATCTACATGTTCTTCTATATTTCGTTAGACTGCCTTTTCTCTATCTCCATTAACAACTGCAATCTGTCTATAATATATTGTAGAGGTTATAAGTGAAGGCTTTGGAACTGGACAGATTGGGTTTGAGTCCCAACTGTCATTCCCTGTCTGTTCAACCTATAGCAAACCTCAACACCTCATCTGTAATATGGGGACAGGATTTTCTGCCTCCTAAGGTTGATGTGAAGGTTCGGTAACAACACGAACGCAAGGCATAACACTATGTCTGGCACGCTGTGGAGCACCTCAGTAAACGTTAGCTAGTCCTATTCTTATCACTACACTATTTCTATTTTGGCATGTTGTTTTTGTGCATCATTTTCTGATGGGCTTGTGGTGTTAGAAAATTTCAGAGAAGCACATACAATCAAACAGCAATTAGTATGATCTGTTGACTCTGATTAGAAAACAAGGCCATTCAAAGACTCGTTGAGTAGCATTGCCCGAGAGGTGGTATGGTGGATTTCTTCAGCTGATTCATAACTGCCTGGTTTCAGTGTTTAAATTATTGTTTTTCTCCAATTGCTTTGCAGCGGAGATAAAAATCTGTTTTAAATACTACCACGGCATTAGTGGAGCCCTGCGAGCCACGACCCCCTGCATCACCGTGAAGAACCCAGCTGTGATGGTGAGTGCCCGCCACTGCCGGCTTCCTCCTGAGACCCATGAAGGGACTTGATTTCTATTTTTGCCCCTGCAGCCCTGACAGGATTATGAGGAACAATGAAAAAGGAAACACATAACAGCATGGGTGCTGTTTTAAAAAAGGAAATAACTTACAAGGTTGGCATACCTGAATCCCTGATACAAATCCATGGAAAAATACAATTTGATTTATAACAGCTCTGAGTAGAGTCAACTCTTCAGGGAACCCACTCCTAAAGCCAAGGAGCGAGTGCCCCATCATGGAAGGTTTTAAACTTAGTCTGGGTGACCCGGTTGGTAGGAAGCAGTAATGTTTTATCTTACGTAAATTTAAACCATTCAAGTGGTGGGTGATTCTACCTGCCAGTTAACTCAAGGAGCTTTTGCCCCAAAGAGGGTGTGAGTTGGGAGTCACAAATGCATTCTTTCCCCAGGAAGTCTTAGCACTGGATCCTTCTCAGTGCTGAGCTGGGGTCTAGCTCCCTGAAGATACTATATATATTTTTTGTAAAACATGGCCACTCAATGGAAATCAGTTTATTAGGCCCTCCATTGGAGAAACAGATATCTAATTACTTTTGGACAAAACTGGTTGTGTTGCACTTTTGAAAGAAAGCATGACCATTTCCAGAGTGGCACTTTTCTAACTTTTCACAGTTTTGTGATTTTTTTTTTTTTTTTTTACTCAATAGACCAACTTCAGAATCTAACAGTCTCACAGTATATGGCTCCATTGTACATAGGTGGTTGGAATCAGGTGGTTTGGGGAGATTCTTAGAGTCTAAGATACTGTGTTTTCCCGAAAATAAGAAAGGGTCTTATATTTATTTTTCCTCAAGAAGACACCCTAGGGCTTATTTTCAGGGGATGTGTTATTTTCCCCTCAAAGCCTCAGCTTGCAGCTTGCACAGGATAGCCGGGACCTAACAGGGGGAGCAGACCTTGTTGGTAGGGCTGCCTGCACCTTCCCAGTTATCTCTGGGATAGTAGCTGTCACAATAGGGCAGATGAGAAGGGCTGCTCATCTTCTTTACCACTCTGCGACGAAATGCATGAGTTGTGCAGATACACCGCATAGCCACACCCATCCCTAGGTCTTATTTTTGGGGTAGGGCTTATATTGTACAAATGCTTAGAAATGCTGCTAGGGCTTATTTTATGGGTAGATCTTATTTTCAGGGAAACACAGTATGCAAGTCATTACAGATTTTAGTCATTAATAAAAATGAGGTCATGAAAACATAGTAAAAAAATATTGACTCTCATAACAGAATCTTCATAACATTGTGTATGTGGGTATATAGACACACATTTATAGATGCTTGCGGTTTGGGAAATACTAAGTGGTCAGGTTGAAATTCAGAGAGCAATTTCTGCAGATGGCATTTTGAAATTGTCCAGACCCACCCCCTCTGCTGTTTCTGATGGTACCTATGCTTCTATATCAAGCAGTCTTCCCTTTCATTTATTCATTTAAACAGTTATTCATTAGATGCCTGCTAAGTGCCAGACATTGTGTCACCACTACAGATAAAATGATGAGAAAAACACAGTCACTAATCTCATTGGTCTGGTGGGGGGAGAGAGACTTCAATCAAATTATATTTAATTGGGTGATAATTGCATGAGGGAGAGTGAAATGGGGCTAGGAGAGTGTGTACTACATAGTAGGTTTTGTCCTGATCAGGAAAGTTCTGGAAGGCTTCCCTGAAGAAGGCGTGTCAGAAGGGCAGTCTTAAAGATGAATAGAAGTTACATAAGTGAAGGAGGGAGGAAGAGCGTTTCAGGCAGAGGGAACAGTGTGTGCAAAATCCTCAATATCTAAGTACTCTGCTCATGTTAGAATTGTATTTGAGCTCTCATTGTAGTAAACATAGTATATAAAAGATTAGTCCATATTCACTATATAAGACTTTAAAGATCACAAAGAGAATAACAGTTGTTGATTACAGGATCTGCCATGTCTCAAAGTATGCTCTGGAACAGACTTTGTTCTAGTTAATGTTCTAAAAAGAAATGTTACAAAACTAGAAGAGTGGAGCTGTTTATAATAAATCCTTTGAAAAATTAATCGTATGTGAAATTAGACAATAGCTTCCAAACATGAGTAAGCATTTTCTAGATGCAGACTTTTTTAGACTTGAGCAATTTTAATATCCAGATATCATTAAAGGCAGTGGGTATTCACAGTTTGGTGAACATTGATTTCATTCCATTGATTTTGCATTGAGATCACTCTGTCAAACCCTGTGGATAGTTTGGAGGTAATTAATTTGCTTCAGACAGGCTTTAGAGCAACTTAGAAGCTTCATAGATACAACACCTGACAATCAGAATAGCATATTTTGGTTCAAAGACTGACTAATGCGATTGGAGGTTAATTGATTTCTGACCAAATTTGAGACAGTTTGATCTATATGTAAAATGGAAAGGCTTTGTCACATGGGCACCTCATTTTGGGGTTAGCACTGTATTTCTATAATAGCATGATGGCCACCTAGGAATATGACAAGTGTTTAGCTGTTGTGACTGACAACATTGATATTCACAAAGCCTACATAGTACGATTATACCATGACCAGATGCAAAGAATAGACCTGGAAGAAGTAATTGAGAAACTCCACAGACAAGGAAATGAGTTTCCATCCTAATTATATGTTATCCTTTCTCACATATCCTTTTGCAATGAATCAAGAACAAAAAATTTGTGACTTCTCTGTCATTTGTGTTTTGACGTCATTGTCATTCATCAGAGTACACAGCGATATGTCTCAGACACTTGGAACAGGAAATCCTTTGGCTTCAGGGACAGATTAAAGCTGCCATCACTCACTACCATGTATTGTTTCAGTACTTGGTTGACATTGTTGCTTTGGGGTTTTCCTGGACTAAATCTATGGAGTGAGTTTATTTAAAAACCTCTCTCTAAACATTGAATGCAGATGTCTTTATTATTGCTAATGTCCCTGTATCTAATGGTAATGCCTGGTCTTTCCTGGCTTTATTGTAATGAATGATAAAATTGAATTTTTTTTTTCTCAGTATTCTTTCAGATGAGCATTTTGCCAGAGTTGCTATGCAGGACATTGTTTTTCTGGGAATTCTTTGAGAAGTGTTTCAGATTAGCCTTTTGTCAGATGGTGAATTACATTTGAAAAATGAGAATTAGAGGACATTTTCTTTTGTTTCTCAAAATTTCTTTTAACACTTTAAATACATTTTAAATGAAAGTAGGTTATGAACCTTTTTAGTCTCATTTAACTCACTTAGGACAAGTATCCATAGCAGCCAGAGATGTCATGTTTTGGGGGTGGCACATCTTATTGGGCAGCGTGGTCCATTTGAGGTGGAGCCACGGTTTCGCATGTCTCAGTTGTCCACTCGCATCGTCTCCCTACAGTCTGGCGTCATACGTGGTCAAAGCAGGCTGAGATAGTTGCAGCAATCGGTTGTCTGGCCAGTTTGCTGCTGCCTCTGCAGTTAATCGGGAATGATGAGTCAGACGAGTATAATATAATAAAGCCCACATGTTTGTTGAGAGCCAACTCTATGGTCATCAAGGAGTTGGTTCTCTGGATGGAAGGAAATAAAGATACCTGGATGATACCCTGGTATATTGCAGACGAAGTATGAAACAATCAGGAGCCAGTTAAGTGCCACACAAAATAGTCTTGACTAAGGTGCAGTAGTCACAGCAAAGGCAGTAGAAATGTATATTTGAAAATCTGAATGAAATTTCTCATCTTTGCTTAGTTAGATTAGGGATGGTTTTTAATCCCCTGGTGGTAGTGTGCAATTGTTACCCCGAGTATGGGGAATGCTGCAAAGATAAGATGGAGGAAGTGTCAAAGAAAACCAGAACTGGACAATAAAGCAGTAAAAGCAGAATTTAATCAGTAACTGTTGCAATAGGAGAAGAGAGTCCTCAATATAGAACTGGCTGAATTCCAAATATAACAAAGGAAAGGGGGGATGTATAGCCCAAGAGCAGGGTTGGGGGAGGGTTGGTGGATGCAAAATTACTAAGAGGGTAGGGGGATTCTTGCTAAACTGACCTAACAGAATCTTGCTGAAGGTAGGCCAGAGTGATCAGATATCACCTGGCTGGCGGGGGGAGGGTTGGAAGGGGATGAGGAATTTGGTCTGATATTGAGGGTGTTCCTATACTGGGGGGAGGGGGGAATTCTCTCTAAACTGACTTAGCAGGGTTTTACCAACTAAGCTGTACAAGGATGGAGATGGAAGTCCAAGGTCAGGCCTAGGTGAGCATAGGGCTCCAAAAGAGCCAGACTAAAGTTTGGTCAAGGAAAAAAATCTTTGTCAGAAAGATTTAATCTAAATTTTAGAATCAAAATGTGGTTTCTATTTCCTTGCTATTCAGTATATATTCTGCCTTCAATTCTGTCTCTTACAAGATTGTGGAATTCTTTTTTAGGGTGTCATGAGGGTTTTTTTTCCTAAGGTACCATAAATTATGTACTCATTGTATATAAATTGAAAGAAAGGTCTAAATTTGCTATGTGATCTATAAATTACTGGCTTCACATGAGATATACTTTATGCAAAAGCTTTTAAGAAAAAGTTATCAGTACAATAGCACTGCAAATTCTTATTATTGCTAATTATGATAGCACGTGCCATGTACCTGCAGCACAATTGAACAGAAGCCTACAAGGGAGCCAAGACACCCTCTTGGACACAGAAATATCTGACAAAAGAGAATAATCCTGTATATATGGATGAGTCTGATAGAAATCAATTTGTTTATCTAGGTTCCCCTAATCTGATGGAATTTGATGTTTGGTTTTTAACTAAAGAGAATGTTTAATATAGTAATAGTAATATAAGTACATTTACTACATATTGACTATATTCTTATTAAGGGGGGAAAGTAAATTCACTTATATTCATAGGGAATTTCAAAGCTTATTTTTTTTATTTTGGGTAAAGATTAAATTTAAGTATAACCCTTTCTCTTGCCTCTGAGAATCTGTGTTTGTGTCTCTGTACCAAGATTTGGAAATGAAAAGATACGTGATACAATACATATTTGATACAAAACATTGTATTTGAACATATATGTGGTTCCCTAGAAAGATACGTGTTTTATCTCGTCAGATGGGGGCAGAGGGCACGGAAGGAGGTGCTTCAGGAAATCTGCATTCTCGGAAACTTGTTAGCTTTACGTTGTCAGGTAAGAATGTCTTTAAATGTGGCATCCAGTTTGAAAGTATGTATTTTCAAGTCACTTCTTTCTACAGATTTTGATATATGTGAACTAGTTTATTTGTCATACTTCTGGAAAGCCAAGTATATCTCTTACTATGATAAAATAAGATTATTAATATAAATTCAGAAATTATTTTTTTTGCCAGATTTTCTGGTGATTTATAAAAACTATATAACTATGTATAGTTCCTTTATAAAAACTGTCATGTAACATAAGCTAATCCCACTGAGGAGCTTTGATTATTAAAACCAATTTATGCTTACCTCAGCTAGAGAAAGGAAAAATTTGAAGACTTGTGGGAAAAAAACAAAGGTATACTTCTTTTTCTGAGGAGGAATACACATAAAAATTGGCAAGTGGAAAAGCCAATGGTTTGCTTGTTTTATTGTTAGTAAAATATTCATGTTGCTTGTGTGTTTATCAAACAATTAAAACACTACTTTTCAGGTTATGAGTTAGGACTCATTTGCAATTTGTAAGTTTGATTTAGTTGAAACCAATAATTAAAAAAAATAGAATAATATTAGAGTTTACCACCAAAGGGAGATATTTTTGGTAAAGCTGCAGTTTATACAAACCGAAAACTTACATACACAAAAAATAAACATGACTATGTATATGTGTACTGGGTTGCAATGTAAAATGTATTTCCTACATAGATCACTGTCAAAAAAGTTTGAAAGTCACTGATTTTTAAAAAGTGAATTGGCAGTCAGAAAGTCAAGTACGCTGTAAGAAAATCAGTATTTGAAATGGGCATTTAAAACAGACTACTGTACTGCAATACATACAAAATAAAGTCTATAGGGACAGCCTAATGTCTGTCCCTATAAGATGTTTTGTTTTCATTTTTCTGTTGTTGTAGCACTTCTGAAATTTAAAATAGATCCATTGTTCTTGACTACAAAAGTATGTTGTGAGTGAAAATATATGTCCTCCGGAGCGAGAGTTAGGAAACCTGATCTTGAAAGAGACAGTTCTGCAATGCATGACTACCACGTGTGATGAAAGTCATCGGTTCATTGCTGTCCGTGGCCCTCTGAGTGTCTTTGTCTTTGCACGTTCCTCCTCCCACCACAGGAGTTTGCTTCATATGCAATCTTTTTTTGCTTTGGTTCACTGGTCAATCTTAGAGGTTATAAACTGGTGACTGGTTATAAACTGGTTCAAATTTGGCCAATAAATATATTTTGTTTGGAATCCTCAGTGTTTAAAAAATATCTAGGGTTTTAGAAAGGCACTTAAAATACCACTGCCTGTGGTACTACAGCTCTACTCCCCTTATCAGTGTTTCCTAAAAACATTTTGGCTACCCACCTGTGCTTTACACCTTTACAGTACTGAGGGGACTGTGCAGGTACTGAAATCCCTGGTGATGGGTAGGGAATAGTCAGCCAACCCCAAAGCTCAGAAAATTTGTAGGAAGACCATACCATTGGTTTCTTAGTTTAGGATTGTTGCTCTATGCTTTCAAGTTATCCATATCCTTCCAAACATTATACTCACATATTTTTGACTCTATAGAGGATGTTTTTAACTCAGTATGGGAGAATGACCATCTAGAAGTCAAAAATCCTAGGGCATTTTCCTGAAAAGTGGAAAATAAGCTTTGGGGCACAGTCAAATGTGTCTTCTTTTAACGCTTCTTCCAACATCTCACCTCTGTTCACATGGAGGTTAGCTGCCTAACATCTGTTTTGTTACTTATCATATAGTCAGCCAGTTACAGATAGTGTACAGAAATGGCTAGGAGAGAAAACCAGTTCTATAATGTTAATTCTAAAGTATTAATCTGGTTATAGCATATTGACAGTGGATGATAATATTTACCTGAGAGCACTGTAGAATGGCTGCCTATAAACATCTACTCTTATCTATGGATAAGTAGGGACACAAATAATTGAACTCTACAGATAAAATAAAAATTATGTTTTGATTAATATTTTAAACCTCCTCCAACTTAGGCTTTACCTAGAATATTTATCGTATCATACCTTTGTGACTTTGAGCCCTTCTTTGGCCTAATATGTAGTATGAATATTTATGAACAACAAAATATATAAAAGAGAGAAGAGCAGAAATGAGATGGATAAATGAAACTGTATTTATGAATGAATGTTTATTTGTAAAGTGCCCCATTGTGGAAAAATTTGGTATCATGGTTATCTCACAGTGACATCTTTCATCACAATGACTTAATCTTATGGTGGAATGATTTTCGTGCAAGGGTTATTTTTTGTGAATGATTTAGCTCTTTCAGACTTTGTGGCAGCCATTCCTATCCATGTTACTCTTCATTTACCACAAAGAAATCCTTTGTTTTAGAGCAGATTTAATATCTAAAGAATATCATTCTTCTGTCTCTTGAGTCTGAGGGGAGCATAATGGAGAAAGGCAAGAAAATAATTATGTGAATTGCATTTTACTGTCAAAGCTTCTTTATGCTAAATAAAACCAAATAAAAACACATAGCCTTACCAAATTGATGGCAAAATGCAAATGCCGCATTGAATAATGACTGTGTAGTTTACAAAGTGTCAAGAATGGGGACTGTGAGGCTTATGATACCACGGCAGCTTCTCTGCAGTGCCTGTCTAGCTCCTGCCTTTATCTTCCCCTATCTGTTTTCTGATCAAAGATCTTACTACATGTCATGCAGTGTTCCTTAACATAAGATCCTCTTGGTTGAATTTTTAAATATTTGCTGACATTTTAATAAATATTAAATATTTACTGCCAGTTTTGTGTCATTAGACATTTCTGGGCTGTTTTCATCACGTGTATGTAGGCCACAAGTTCTTGTGGGCCATTGGTGAGCCTCCTCCAGGGAGCATTCCCTAGAGAACATGGTTCCATGGGCAATTACAAGCCAATTCTCTCCTAAGAAAGACCTGTTTCAGGAATTGGCTTGCATAGGTGACCTCCTGTAATTTAGGGTCATTATATAAGGTCTGTTTCCCAGCTGAGCTGGATTATCCAAAGATCTTTGGAGGTTCAGGGGCCATGTGCAGAATTTCTGTGTGAACCGAGTGTTCAGGACCTCCCAGGAGTGATCATCCAGCATTTTTTAAGATCACTTAGCTCCCAGGCCTACCTCATTCAAACTGATAATCTCAGAAAGGCAGCCATTGAAGTTCCAGCACAACCAGCTTTATTTCCTGACATTTTTGTGTCCCTTTTGCCTCACCATTTAAAAAGATATCAGTCTTCACACTAAATAGACTTTAGCTAGGACTTTGTAGCAGCTCATATGATGTGAAACAACTTGTGAATCTAAGGTGAGTTATAGGATGTTCATCAAATATTTAAGTTACTTTACCAGCTATTTACAATTACAGATAGCATTCACATTTTCTAAATATTTCTGATCTACTTTTTTCCTCTAACATTCATCACATTTCTGGAATATATATGACATTTTAAATGTGGTACAAATGGATGTGTTCTCTGATGTTTCATCTCTAATTAAACTTAGTCCATACTCATTTCTACGTAGATAAATGTAAAATATTCATTTTTCTCTCATGAAGAAACATGTTTACTAAGGATTTCTCTCAAGACATTGAAATTCTGCTTGCCAAACCACATTATTGCCCTAGGAAAAAGGTGGTGAAGATGTACATGTTGGTATCCAAATGGTTTCCAGGGAAAGCCAGTTGCAGGGTGTGAGGTGGTGGTAAAGGTTTGGCTTCATTTTTGAAGCCTGTTAGGCGACCCTTCTTCTGGAATTACTGCCCTAACCCACTTGTCTTTATTTATCTAAGCAATCACAGCATTAATAACTTTGCTATTGTTTCACTGAATAGTTTCTGTTTAGAGCTTCCTGTGTGTTTATTTAAGAACAAATTGTCTTTGAGCTGCTTGTTCTAATCAGGATATATGGGTCCTTCCTCTTTCTGTCCCCTTTTCCCTTTTTCCTTCCTGCTATCTCTTGTCCCTCCCTACTTCTCTCTCTCTTTCTTTAAAGATCTTAGGGCAGTTGGGCTAAAGAAAGGGATGTTCTTCAATCCTGACCCTTATCTCAAGATGTCCATTCAGCCAGGGAAGAAGAGCAGTTTTCCCACCTGTGCCCACCACGGACAGGAGAGACGGTCTACTATCATCAGTAACACCACTAATCCCATTTGGCACCGAGAGGTAAGATGATTTTCAGGGGTCTTCTACTTGATAGTTAGGAAGTCCGCCAAGTTTCTCTTTTTCCTGAGGACTGTGTGCAACCTTTAGCTGTTTATGGGTGTGGTCAAGATAGCTGAGGTGTCCAGGGCTTCTGTTGGAAAAAGGGTACAATGAGAATGAGCTATTCCCATCTCTCCAGAGGTAGGTATAGGGTGAGACAAAATAAGGCACTTACCTCAGGGGCAAAAGACTCACTAATCAAAATAAACATATTAATGCAATATTTTTTAAATAATCAAAATTCAAAAAAATTCATGGTGAACAAAATATCAAAATTTTAAATAAGGATAAGATCAGCAACATTGTCTTGCAGAGCCATAGTGGAGCCTGAGGCAAGAGGAAAAATCAGTAACACTGATCCTGTTTCTATTTAAAAGTTTGATATATTGTTCTAGCATATATTCAGTATAAATTAAAGGTATTTCTCTCTCTATGGGCTTTGGCAAATGTTTTATGAATTTCTAGATGTCCGTTAATTAGATGAGCCATTCCAGGAGTCGTCATCCTGAGCGAATCCAGATTGTGTTGATGGTATTTAGATGTCCTCACAGCGACATTATGCTACCAGTCATCTTAGGGCACCATATCAGCGAAATCAACAAGCAAAGGGTTTTCTCATTAGAACTATGGAAAATCAAAGAATGAACAAGGAGACATCTTTTCTCATCAACTGAGCAAAGTATGAGCTCTCTTGATATTTCTCAGGGATCCGAGGCATACTAATGTTAGAATGTTTCCGGGTAAACCTTCACTGGCATCGGAGTTAAACAGTTAATTAGATCATATTTTAAATGTTTAATGACAACAGTATACTCTCAACAATGTTGTAGAAATATTTAATTGGAGAGAGATATTTCAGGGGATCTAAAACCAGCTGGAGAAAAGGTATGATAATTTGAGACTTGCCAACACAGCAAGATGCTTCTTCTGGGCAGTTCCTGTGGTTATTGAGATGTATAAATGAATATTGCTTGTATTCTTATATCTGGTTTCAAAAAGTACTTATGATCTCATCATGTAAAATAACTCTTAAAGGCATACCACTTAATTTAACACATTTCCAATCTAGAAGACATAAAATATATCTCAATATGAGCTCTAGAAGGCATGTAAAAGATATGATAATCAAACAAGCAATAACTTTATTTTCCTAACATTTTATATTTACAAAGTTCTTGACCATGTGACTAGTGCAAACCTGAAAGAGAGGTAGGTATATGGGATGATATTATCATCTCTCCATTTTGATGATTAAGAAATTGAAGCTTGGCCAGTTGTGGTGGCTCACATCTATAATCCTAGGACTCTGGGAGGCCAAGGTGGGAGGTTTGGAAGGGGGAGGAGGGGATGGGTATATTCACACCTAATGGGGTGCAGTGTGCACTGTCTGGGGGATGGACATGCTTGAAGCTCTGACTTGGGTGGGGCAAGGGCAATATACATAACCTAAACATTTGTGCCCCCATAATATGCTGAAATAAAAAAGAAAAAAAAAAAAACAAAGAATAGCCTGAGCAAGAGCAAGACCCTCTCTCTACTATTAATAAAAATAGAAAAAATTAGCTGGGCATCATGGCACACACCTGTAGTCCCAGCTACTCAGGAGGCTGAGGCAGGAGGATCACTGAGCCTAGGATTTGGAGGTTGCAGTGAGCTATAGTGACACCAGCTGCACTCTACCAGGGCAACAGAGCAAGACTCTGTCTCAGAAAAACAAACAAAACAGAAAACCAAAAGAAATGGACGCTTACAGTATTTATGTGACTAGCTATTCAGAGGCAGCAGTGGGGCTTAAACTCAGCTTTTTTATTCTAAGCAAGTGCATTTTCCATTAAGCAGATGGTCAAATTGCCTGGCCCTTTGGAGAACTTTGCAAAAACTAGATAAACTTAGGGGCATGCAGTGTAAAGCTGGCTAGCACTAATCACATCACTGTAGTTGCTTAGATACTGCCAGGGAAGCAGAGAAATGATTTAGGTTAGATTCCTGGCTCCATCATTTACTTATCCTGAAATTATCATCTTTAAAAAGAAAATTTTATCTTTGTAAAAATAAAATAAAGATAATACATGTAAAAGTCTTTGAAAGTGAGTAAACCTCTTTATATTCATTCTATATCCTTATAAATGCCCAATCTAATTTTCTCCAGTGTCATTCCTAAATGAAAACAACAAAGACTACCTTAACATCATACTTTTTCTGTCCCAGAAGAGACCCCACATGCCTTTTAAACTTAAGTAATAATTCCATTTAAATATTGTTTTTTAAAAATATTTATCTGGGAAACCACAGTTTTCTGTAGCTATTCCTACTTTAACTGCTAAGTAGAGTATTTTTAAACTATATTTCACAACTTCAAAATTCCATGAGAATAGGAATTAAAGTTATTGTTAAATATAAGTTAATTCTAAACCATTCTATAACAAGATATTACATATCAAGGAATTAAGATACAATCAGTGTAGTGAGTACTAAAATTGTATTGTATATGACTTAATATTTGATAACATCTCCTAAAACTGTTAAACTAGGAAGGGCTGCATGATTGACCAAAAGGACTTCTTTTATCACACAGATTCTTGACTATTGCGTTTTAATCATTGTGAATGCCAGTGAAGCTGAGTGAATAAAAGATTCACAGTGGCTGCAGATATTTCTAGCACTATGGACTCTGTATGTCATTAGAATTTGAGAGATACCATTGCTTATACTAATAAAATGATATAATACCATATTTGTCTTTCTTTTGAACCAATATGGTATCTGTTTGTGTTTTCAGAAATATTCCTTTTTTGCACTTCTTACTGATGTCTTAGAAATTGAAATTAAAGACAAATTTGCCAAGAGCCGTCCTATCATCAAGCGTTTTCTGGGGAAACTAACCATTCCAGTCCAGAGGCTGCTGGAGCGACAAGCCATCGGGTAATCAGCCCTTACCTTTAGGGTTCTAGTTGAAATTAGTGAAATGATACGTGGTAGTCCTAGGACATTCCTTACTGGTAAGAAGTGGTAATATAATTCATTTAAAAATAAAAATGCCCCCAAACCAAAACCATAGTGTGATACCATCTCACTCCAGTTAAAATGGTTTGTGTCGAAAAGACAGGCAATAACAGATATTAGCAAGGATGGGGAGAAAGGGGAACCCTCACATACTGTCTGGGGGATGTAAATTAGTACACCCACTATGGAGGACAGTATGAAGGTTCCTCAAAAAACTAAAAATATAAGAACTTCCATATAATCCAGCAATTCCACTCCTGGTATATATGTAAAAGAAAGGGAATCAATACTGTCAAAGAGATATCTTCACTCCCATGTTTATTGCAGCAATATTCACAATAGCCAAGACATGAAATCAACTTAAGTGTCCATCAGTGGAGGAATGGCTAAAGAAAATGTGGTACATATACAGAATGGAATACTATTAGGCCATAAAAAAGAAGGGAATCCTGTTATTTGTAACAATATGGATGGACTGGAGGCCATTATGCTAAGTGAAATAAGCCAAGCACAGAAAGACAAATATCACATTTTCTTATGTATGGGAGCTAAAAAAAGCGAATGGAAATCGATTGTAGATTGGTAGTGACCAGAGGCTGGGAAGGGGTGGGGGAAGGTGAAGAGAGAGGTAGGTTAAAAAAAAAAAAATATATATATATATATATATATATATATATATGAATGTATTTATTACCATTGATCTGTACACTTAAAGATGGTAAATTATATATGTATATTTTACCTCAATTAAAAAATAAACAAAAGTGCCTTTATACTCATTAAAGTGTACTGGACAAAACCTACTTTGTTTTAATTGTGTACCTTTTTTTGGTATCTTTATCTTTTCCAAGACGTACCTGCCATTAGCATTTCAGCATCAATTTCTTGGCATTTGATTGTTTTTGAGTATATTGAAATCTTGCTATAAAACCCTCTCCCTAGAGCGAAATTCTAGCCTCAGGTTGATGCCGATCTTACCCTGATTAATCCCACCCAGAGAATTTGTTATTACCGGAAAAAAATAATCTTGCTTTTGGGTCATTTAAAACAGGACCTCAGAATTCTAAGGGAATATTTTATAGTAAAGCTTCTAGACATATACATTAATTTAGGCAACTCAAATTTATTCATTGACAAGATCTTAAAATGTGATTGATGTCTTTTTTCTTTTTGTGAGCTTTTTATAAGTTGTGAGTAAAGAAAAGAAGTCATACTGAGGAGATAGGGAAGAATGAAAAAATAGTTATGCAAAATAATATTAATAGCTGGCTAGAAGCTCTAAACTGTACAGTGATGGAAATGTTAAATAGAAGCATTGTTTTCCTTTGGAAACAGCCATTAGAGGGCAGTGTGAGAGCAGAGATGGAGTGATTTGGGACTATCCCTTTGATTAATTTCCTTAATTAAGTCATTTGATTCAGAATAAAAGTTGCTTTCATACAATAAAAGTTGCTTTCATACAAACAGAATAAAAGTTGCTTTTATTTATTCAGAATAAAAATTGCATTTGACTTTGATAAATAGACCTGGACTTGAAACAGATTGTCAGTTACATCCTCAGGGCTGTCACCCCAACCCTGGGGCCAAGATAGAGCAAAACTGGACAGGCCCAGCTGTGGTCCCCTCCAGCCCACTTCCAGGTGTGGGACATGACCCCACCACAGTGGCATATGTAGCTTCTCCAACCATGGCATCAGCATTGCCCACAAGCCACTCTGAGGATTAGTGGTAGGACAGGCTCCTGGGACAGTGCGGTGGCAGCACCGGCTACCTCACTCTGCAGGTGAGGAAAGAGTGTTCAGCGGCCCAATGCCCCTCACACAGCTGGGGCTGCTGTCTTCCTATGTGTGTCCTTCAGAGTATAGTACTGTGCCCTCTGTGCCATGCTGTCGGGTGATAATCCTTATCTGTGAGTGTCCTTTTAGAACCAGCTTCCTGTTTGCTAAAGGCTAAGGAACCAGGCCCTTGCTACCTTCACACTGGAGTCAAAAAGCACCAATAGCTTGAGGACTTTCGCAGCTCCTTGATGACCTTCAAAATGCCCTTTCCCTGGTCCCCCTTAGCAATGAAAGAGTAAATAGTGTTCTTAAACAATATCATATACTGCATTGCATTTTCTGCTTTTAGTAATAATTTTCCTTATAACAAGATTTCCTTTTATCCCTGGGTTTATAAGTGTTCATTTTTAAGAATGAATAATATTACAGTGGACTATATAATATGCCTTGAGCCTTTTATTTATTTGTGAGTCTGAAGGTCTTAAGAGAGGAATGCAGGACTTAAGGTGTGGCTCGCAGGAAGAATGCGAAGGCTGACTCCAGTGTAATAAGGATGAAAGAGCCATTTCTCCTCTTGCAGTGATCAAATGCTCAGCTACAACCTTGGCAGAAGGCTCCCAGCTGACCACGTGAGTGGGTACCTCCAGTTTAAGGTGGAGGTTACGTCTTCTGTTCATGAAGGTGAGACATCTGTATGAATACATAGCTGTAGGAAAACTTGCTAAATCTTACTCAGTTGTCAGTTTGCTTTTGAATAGAATTGAATTTGTCTACTGTTCTAAAAATAAAATAGATTTTAAATGATTACCTGCTGAAGTTTTCTAAGCAGATAGGAAAGACTTTTTACCAAAAACTATTTCTTATGTTTATGCTTGCATTTTGAAACGGGGCTGTAGAGTTTCCAGTGGTACTAACATCTATACCTCATGGTAGAGAGTGGTGAATCTTGCAAGTCCTAGTGCTGTAAGCAAGCCCCGTGGGATGAGTGAATTCTTTGAACTGATTGGTGGCAAAAAAGTAGGTTAAAAGTTCATTCATTATTTCTAGTCATTTTTATAAATGCTGATTTCTCATTCAGATGCTTCTCCAGAAGCTGTTGGCACCATACTCGGAGTCAGTACGGTGAATGGGGACCTAGGAAGCCCTTCTGATGACGAGGACATGCCAGGCAGCCATCACGACGGCCCGGTTTGTGCTAATGGGCCAGTTTCTGAGGAAAGTACTGCTGATGGGACCCCCAAGCATTCATTGAGGACTAGCTCCACTCTGGAAATAGACACAGAGGAATTAAATTCTACTTCTTCAAGGACATCACCTCCCAGAGGACGTCAGGATTCACTCAATGATTACTTAGATGCTATTGAACACAATGGCCATCCCAGGCCAGGGGCAGCAACCTGCTCTGAGAGGCCCATGGGAGCCTCTCCCAAACTAAGGAGTAGTTTTCCCACAGACACAAGACTCAATGCAATGCTTCACATTGACTCAGATGAAGAAGACCATGAGTTCCAGCAGGACCTGGGTTACCCATCTTCCTTGGAAGAGGAAGGAGGGCTGATCATGTTTAGCAGGGCATCCAGAACTGACGATGGGAGCCTGACATCTCAGACAAAGCCCGAGGACAACCCCATTGAGAATGAGGACGCCTCCACACATGAGGCTGCTTCCCTTGAAGACAAGCCGGAAAATCTTCCAGAGATTACAGACAGCTCCTTACCCTCAGGCCCAGCCCCAGATGAAGGTGAAGGTGGCCCTGAGTCTCAACCCACTGGGGACCAGGGCAGCACTGAATTGTGTGGCTCTCAGGAGGTGGATCAGCCCACAAGTGGGGCAGACACGGGGACTTCCGACACGTCAGGAGGAAGCCGCAGAGCCATCAGTGAGACCGAGTCCCTGGACCAGGGGTCCGAGCCTTCCCAGGTGTCCTCTGAGACGGAACCCAGTGACCCTGCCAGGACAGAGAGTGTGAGCGAAGCCAGCACCAGGCCTGAGGGAGAGAGTGACCTGGAGGGCGCCGACAGCTCCTGCAACGAGAGTGTGACCACACAGCTGTCCTCCGTGGAGACGCGGTGCTCGTCTGTGGAGAGCGCGCGTTTCCCCGAGACCCCGGCCTTCTCTTCTCAGGAGGAGGAAGACGGGGCCTGCGCGGCAGAGCCCGCCGATGGCAGCCCTGCGGAAGGGTCGCAGGATTCCATATGCACCCCGGGCTCTTTACCTGTGGTGCAGGTGCCCAGTGGGGAGGAGGAAGGGCCAGGGGCAGAATCGGCCACTGTACCTGACCAGGAGGAGCTGGGGGAGGTCTGGCAGCGGAGAGGCAGCGTGGAGGGAGCCGCGGCCGCTGCCGAGAGCCAGCGCCAGGAAGAGGGCGATGCCGGGGGTGCCCGAGGCGCCTGTGAAGGGGCCACAGCCCAGGAGGAGGGCGCCACTGGAGGTAGGACACGACAGACACTGGGGCTCTTGGCTCTCTCGTAGCTGCTGAAGAGAAGCTCTGTAGTTTTCCCTCAGTGCGAATGGTACTGCAGGTTGCATGGCACCCGAACTCCTAACCTTGAGGTTCAGCAGTTAGCAAAAGGAGTAAGAAGGGGAAGAGAGGCAAGATTGAAAACAGGGCCTGGAAGAGAAGGAAACAGGCAACACATGTGGGGATACGTGGAGCCCCTTCTGTAGACCAGGCCTCCCATTTCAGAGTGCGGAGACTGAGAGACTTAACCGATCACGTAGCTAGGAAGAAGCTCAGGTGATTTGCCTACAGCTAGGCCTGAGTCCAAATTTGGTGCCCCTCCCCCCTTTTTTTAAATGGATCTTCTATTGCTGAAATAAGAGGCCTGTCAAACAACAGTCTTCAAACTTAAATAATGATTCTCTAGTGGGACATGGGTTTGTAGATAAAATAAACCAGGCTGACAGCTTCAACATGAGTGTGATCTTCAGAGCTTTGCAGGAACACCTTAAGTCTCTCCTTTATAAAACTTCAAAGCAGATGTTGATATGTGCTTTGCATCAAAGGCAATGTTTTTGTCTTCTACAGTATAAGAAATGTCAACTAAGTTAGGTGATACATTCTGGCTTGAAGAATAATCTGTTTCAGTATCTCAGAATGCAGAGTTACACTGAAATTATTATATCTATTGAATGTTGTTCTCTAGAATGATTCTTTTAAACTGTCATATTGTAGATACATTAAAAAAATCAAAGGGTAACTTCATAGAGTCAGAAATAGTTATGATTTTCTTCTTCTTCTGTAATTTATTTTTCTATCTCAAGTATCCTCTTCTTTTCTTCTTCCTCTTTTTATTTTTTATTTTTTTGTTTGTTTCCTTCATTATCTTGTGGCCATTATGTGACCATAAAGCATAAGTGCATGACCAGGACAGGAGCCAGGGCAAGGGTTGGGGGCCCGGAGAGGCGGGAAGGGGGAGGGTTATGAACAGAGGACTTTCTCTAGGAAGCCCTCTTCTAAGCATTCACCACCTAGTCATTCTCTGCTTTTGTTTCTAGGTCCTCATGTGGGAAATGAGGCTGAACAGAGAAAAGAAATTAGCCTCTGGATTTATGTTAGGTTTTTTTTAAAATAAAGAAAACAATACCTGTATAACTTTCTACCTTTAATCCTAGGTTCTCAAGCCAACGGCCACCAGCCATTGCGGTCACTACCTTCAGTGCGCCAAGATGTTAGCCGGTACCAGAGGGTGGACGAGGCTCTCCCACCAAGTGAGGACCTGTTAACTAAAGGGCCCACCTCCCACCTTAATCAAAGTGGCAAGGTTGACAGGGAGACCCATTGCACAAATATGAAAAGATGGATACATGAGCCTTTGAAAGGAAGGAGACTGGGGCCTGCCTCTGCACATAGCAGGTGTCGTCTGGAAAGTGCTAGGCTGATGACTCTTCTTTGGCACTATGCCACTGAAACAAAGTGCAGCAGTAAATGCTATTCTGCCCATGAAGTAAATATTGCAATTATGGAAGCAGAACCAGATATTTTAGAAAATCGGGTGCTTAATAGAATTTTTAAAAATTATGCCTATGCATGAATTTTCTTTCAGTTAATAGACAAATTGGTACAATCTCTTGGTAAAACCTTACTCTGTGTAATATCCACCCTCTTTGTTCACTTACATTATTTTAAATCATTAAGCACAAGGGTCTGATCTTTGTCTTAGGGATATGCAGAGTGTTATTAATCTCAGAAATTAGTCTGCTGCTTATTTGGGACAGGGCAGTTATCTAGGGATTTGAAAGATGTTTCATTTCTTTCACTTTCAGAAAATACTTAGCACTTAAAGGAGAGGTGGTTGAGGCTTAGGGATGTGGGGAAATAGTGGCACAACTTGTATTCAAAGGTACAAGGGATACCTGTGGCCAGTCAGCATCTGGATGGAGTTTAAACTCTAAATTTCTAGAATCCCTTTAAGTAATGTTCCTCTTTGAGAGCAATCCATTTTGTTGACTAATTATAAAGCCCCATAAATACTGCTTTTCAGAAAACATTGGAAAGTACATCCTCTTGCCTCATTGCTCTCCCTTCTCACTCACCCTGTCTACTTACCTCTTATGTGTGTGCATGGCAAGAGGCTGATGCCTTTGACCCTCTGTGTTTTAAAAATCGTGGAACATAAAGAAAAGAGGGTACACACCTTAAAGGGGTGCTTAGTTTTGGTAAGTGCTGACAAAAGAGCTGAACGGTACTATGCAGGGTTTGCCAAAATATTGGCTTAATTGTTTTGAAATTCTGTTAGGCACAGATCCTTCCCTCGTTTGTACATTTGGATAACTGAGGGCCATTACTCATAGGAAACATATATTTTATGCAGTTTTTGAAAAATGTAACAAGAGATTAATTAACCATGTGTCATTTTAAGTAGGCAGAGGACAGGAGTAAAGGGAAGAAGACTTTCTTCTTGTTTACTCTTGGAGAAAAGATTAGAGTAAGAAAATAAAAATATTCCCAGAAGATATTTAGGTTATAACTGGAGCAAAATGAATTAGGAATACCAGGTGAGAGTTCTTGGAGAACTTTGTTTTGATGTATATATGGATTAACAGTAATTAGAGTTTCAGGAGGTTGGATAGGAGGCATAACATTGCATGAATGCATTGATAAATGGCATCTTCCTAGCCACGTCCAATGCTCTAATGTTTCTGGACATAGTTTTGGTCTCTAGATTGTATTTAATAAATATAGATACTTTCCTGCTGAAATTATGACCACTATTTGTGATATCTCAATGTATTATTGAAACACTGATATCTGCATTGCACAGAATACATCTTAAGAATATTTTTTCTTACAATTGGAAGTTCATTTTAATAAGTTCATATATCCAAAGTAAAAGCCATTTAGTGGTATATTCTATTTAATGAGTAACTGACAGACAGGAGGAAAATTCTTAAGATGTGTTCCCTCTTATTCAGAGGTTTTCAGTATTGGTGGGATGTGCTACCCCATGGGGACATTTGGAATTTGTGGGGGCATCTTTCATTTAACAATGTTTGAAGGGTGCTTTTGGCATTTAGTGGGTGGGGGAAGGGATGCCAAACATCCTGCAGTGGTAGGATGGTCTGATACAACCAAGAATTGTCCATCTACAATTCTAACAGTATCCCTCTGAGAAACACTTCTCTGTACTAATTTAATACTCAATAACATTTTTATAAGCTATAACTAGAATTTTTGTATTTGAAAAACTCAGAACTAAAGATGTCTCTCACTAAAAATATGAGTTAAACACACACACACACACACACCACACACTCATGTTGTAGGGCCAAGCAACTTGCAAATTTGGGGATTTATATGATCACGGGTAGGTTATAGATTATGGTCTGAGCATACCTGATACTGTTCAGCTCTGTTCCCAAGTCTGTCTTATCGTTTTGACTATCTGTTTAATCACTTGGCTGCCCCTGCTAGCAGTCCGTCCCCACTCCAGCCAGATCCCTGATTTCCTCTCCTAACTAGACAACTCTGCTACCACCTTGGCCATGCCTCTGGCTTACAGCCGCAGCACCTGCCTTTGGTGGTGTCTTGTGCTTTCTGAGGCTCAGCAAAGGGGAGTCTGCTCAGCATGTGCAGATTGCTCCATCTCTTAAATAACCTGGGTGAATTATTTTAAGGCTAAGAGTTGTGCTTTGGAAACACTATTAGTTATAATTACTCAAATTTGTGTAGTACTTTACAAAGCACTTTTACATACTTTATTTTCTAATAATTCTTCTTCTAATAATTTTGCAAGGTAGGTCAAACAGGTCTTATCTGTAATTTGTAGATTGATGCATCGAAGTCAGCTAATCTGTTTCCTTTTATAGGTGAAGAAACTTAAGCCCAGATAAATTAAGTAACTTGTTTAAGATCCCATAGTAGTCAAAGTTGAGACATTCTCAAATATTCTATCTCTTCTTTCAGGCCTTCTGATCTAAGATCTGATCTAAGATTAGAAGGGAAGGGACTATTATGTGGGTAGATGAATGTAAATTCTGAAAGTTTGGGTGGAGGCAGAAGGTGGCTTATATTGTGATATTTATTGGGCACCAGCAATGCCTTAAATCAGAGGATTTGGGGGTTTCACTGCAACTTCACTACATTGTACGGCTTTGAGCTCAGACCCAGGAGGGCTCAGAAAGTACCCAGTTTTCTCTTCTTCAGGGACAGGTTTGCACAGGGGGCCCCTCTTCTATACGAGGAGTGGTTACGGTGACTGGGAGCTTAGATTGTTTGGCCCGGGTTGGTTTGCTATGTCTCAGCAATACCTTTATTCTTCCTGAAAATCTCTCTCCCCCTCTGGGTGGGACAAGTGACTGAGGCAGTATACTTTGGGCTTTGGTGGCCCCATTCTTGATTCTTTTTCCTTATCATTACTATTGTTGTTGTTATTTTAGCTTATTTTCACCTTATAAAATACTTGTGTACGAGTGCATAGTGAGGAAATTGTCCAGCCAACTGAGCTTCTCTCTGGAGGTTTGAAAACTAAGTTATAGGGAACCAGGGTGTCCCTTGCTCTGTGGCTCAGGACTGAAGCGGACCACGTGGTAGTCTGTCTACATGTCCATGTAATAAGTTTCTGAATGTCTGTTTGAACTCTTTGTATGTAAAGCAGCTTGCACATTTGGGGATTAATATGATCTTAGGTGGGTGACAGGGTTTTTCTTGTTTGCTTGCTTCTTCTAGTCTTATGCCTCCTGTCTCAGGATCAGGGAACAGATCTTGGACCTACTACTAAGACTGCTCATTGGTGATGGTGATTTACCAGTTGGTTCTTAAAATCTTAATTCTTGCCTTGGGTCACGAACAGTGCACTGTGACCTTGTGGGCCATGTAACTCCAACCACTCACTGGTTGAGAATATTCTAACGACTCATAGAAAATAAGAAAGCTCCAGGCCTTGGAGGCAGCATGACACTGTTGAAAGCCTTCCAGGGAAGTAGCATGGACTTGAATATGCACAGAATGCCTTAAAGAACTTGCTGTATCTTCTCGTTCTGGGGTCACTGATGGTGCTGGCAGCTAGGTGTAGTTCAGGGCTGAAGCCACTTGGAACATTATCAGCTTGACAAATATTGGTCTTTTGAGCAGTAAGATGAGTGAAAAAAGAATGGCCAGCCCAACCACTTCTAAAAAACTATTTTCTTTTTCTCTTATTGACTCCAGTGTCATTATGACTTAACCCATTGCTGCACTGGAGACAGTATGGACTTGTTGTATAAGTGTATGTGTTTTTTCCCCAAAAAGGTAGTTTTTCTAGGCATAGGAATACATTCAGGTTGAATAGTCAGGATTAGTGGACTCTGATAGGATCAGAGGACATTGCTATATGGGTAGGACTAGGCTATTACTTAATGTGATGGGTACACATTAGTAGGTCTAGAAAACTATAAGGGAACATTTATCTTTTTATTTTTTTTTTGTGGTTGTATACTTTCATTATTAAAGTATCCTTTAAAATGAAGGCCTAAAAGTACACAGTGAATCTGAAAAGTGTAATCTAAACTTAGAGTTTCTACTATGTTTGGGGTTAGGGGCTCTTATTCTTTAGATCTTAAAATTTAATTTTGAGGAAAATAATTGATACTTTTAATCTATAAAGCTACTTTCCTAAAAATTGAAGGTTAAGATTCAAAATATACAGCTACTTGGTGTTTTTTAAAACTTTCTGTTCAAATAAAGTATAGCAGAAAGAGCACATTCAGCCTGTTGAATGCTGTCCACTGGACACACTGTGCCGTCAACACCATGTCACTGGACCCAGAAGTTCCCTTTAGGCACCCTGAGGGAATCACTAGCCCCCACTCCAGATGGGAAGGGGACCTACTATCCTGACTCCCAAAATCACGGTTAAGTTTAACATACCTTTGTACTTTGTACAAATGGAATCATACTTCCTTGAGTGGTTAAAATTAAAAAAGAAAAATCTTTTGAACATTGCCATCTGTCATCTATTACAAAGCTTATAATTTTCCTTGAAAGTACCTTTAGTTCTTTATAACTTTATCATCTTGACATTTTAGTGAAGATACCTGTGGTTATAATTTTTTATAGTGAATTTATAAATTTGCTTTACAATATTCAGGTACTGGATTTTACTAAATCCGATGATAACCAGATCAACCTGCACTCAGTCCCCTCCGTCCCTTGACTCACATGGACAGTCCAAACCTGGCTCCCCCTGATGTGTAATTCATATTGTTTTTGACTTTCTTCCCAGTCTCAGCCTTCACTGAGATGTATTCCTGTCTCATCACCAGTGGGTGATCCAGTGGAGACCAAGGGTATGGGAAAGGAGTGATGAGATGACCAGAGGGCCATAGGTACACCCTGCCTGCCCCCCCTCCCACATGTTGATTCTAAAAATGGAAAAGCCTGCCTGTTCTACCACTTGGAGTTTCTACTACTATGTTTGGGGTTAGGGGATCTTATTCTTCAGAGCTGAAAATTTAATTTTGAGGAAAATAATTGATACTTTTAATCTATAAAGCTACTTTATAGATTTTAGGCTACTTTATAGCCTAAAGCCTGCCTGTTCTGCCACTTCTGTGCCCTTCCTAGGGTATGGGAAAGGAGTGATGAGATGACCAGAGGGTCATAGGGACACCCTGCCTGCCCCCCTCCCACATGTTGATTCTAAAAATGGAAAATGTCTAAAGCCTGCCTGTTCTACTACTTCTGTGCCCTTCCTAGGGGACCAGTGCTATGACAGCAACCGTATGGAGTTGTTTTACATGCTTTCTAACTCTCTGACTTCCCCTTATTGTCCAGGCACTTAAAGGGGCCTAGTTATATTTAAGTTTTAGAGCATCTAAGAGTCCAGTTTGGGGTGTTGAGGCTGAAGTTTAGTTTCTTGTGAGCTCACACTTCATGATTTCTGACAAATCTAGCATTTGCTCCATGGGTTTGTCCAGCAAATTAACTGCTGTTTTAAATTCTAATTTATGTCAGTATATCTCAAATTTTAGTGTGTCTAGGAATCACCTGGGAAGGTTGTTAAAAATGTAGATAACTGAGTCCTAGCTTCAGATAGTGCGATTCTGAAGGCCTGGGGTGTGTCCTAGAAATATGCATCTTTATTGATCCTCAAGGTGATGCTACACATGTTGTCAGAGTCCCACCTGCCTTGAGAAACATTTCTCTAGGTAGTAATTTTCAAATTTTATTATTGCCATGGAGCTCTTGATGCATATGAAATATTATATGTAATACAACAGATAATATTAGAGTTGCCATGGCTAAACTAGGGTTGGCAGGTGTTTCCAGAACCCCTTCCCTCAGGACCCCTGAGCTTCTGGCCCTGTAAGGCATAATTAATTAGAGTTTAGCTTGGAAATTTTCACTGAGACATTAGATATTGCCAAAATGTTGCTAGGTCCTTGCTGAACCTAATAAAATGGGCACCACTGTATAGATTCATAGAATTTCAGAACTGGAAGAGACCTCAGCAGATGTTTGATTCTCCTCTTTAATTTTTCAAAACTGTGATCCGTAGAGATACAGTGACTTTTTGAAGGTCTTGTAGCAAAGGTGTGACAAGCCATGGTCAGAAACCAGGCCTTCTATACACACATACACATCTGCACACCCCAAAACATTGCTCTCAGTCTCACTGCACCCTGATTATATACCCTATTTTACAAAGTGGCAAGACAAGGAAGTAAATGTTAAGATTCCAGTCTTCTCACTCTGTCTGATTTTAGCACTGTCTATTTGAAAGAAACTTTAATGCTGTGAAATGAGTTCTCATATGCTTCCTTGTCTCAAGAACAAACCAAGGCCAGCCACAGTGGCTCACACCTGTAAGCTTAGCACTCTGGGAGGCCGAGACAGGACGATTACTTGAAGCCAGGAGTTTGAGATCAGACTGAGCAAGAGCGAGACCCTGTCTTTACTAAAAATAGAAAAAATGGCCAGGCGTAGTGGCACACACCTGTAGTTCCAGGTACATAGGAAGCTGAGGCAGGAGGATCACTTCAACCCAAGAGTTTGAGGTTGCAGAGAGCTATGATGATACCACTGCACTCTACTGTGGGGGACAAAGTGAAACTCTGCCTCACAAAAAAAAAAAAAAAAAAGAAAAAGAAGAAGAAGAAAAACCTAGCCCAATATAAAGACATATAAGATGTTAGAGCAACTGTATCCTTCAAAGTAACTTTGTTAAATAAGATAGAGGTCTTTCCTTACCACAGGCACCTCTACTGCCTTTGTCTGGATGGAAGGGTATTGACCACTCGGGTAGGAGTGGATAATTAGTTCATGAAGAGGCCAATACTGGAACAGTCATTTCCTGACCCAGTGCCAAGCCTCCACTTGAAATCAGCAATATAGAATTTCTTTTTACGGAGAGCAAAGTAACAACATCAGTTCGGAGATATGATATTTGAGAGAGGGGTAGTCTTAATGTGCATTCAACATTCTATGTTCTTAGAAAGCAAATATTTTGGTCCTTGTTTTGTTGTTGTTGTTGTTCTCCCCATTGCACGTAGAAATGTCTTTATCGAACTTCAAATTAAGATTATTCCTATCCTTTGTGGAAGGTGAATATAAGACTGATTTTATCTCATTTTAAATCATTTGCTCATTTATAACATACCATGTGCAAGGCACAGTGGTGAATATATTTATTTGGCAATCTTCCCCTTGACTTTCCCATTTTGCTACCCGTATAGCCCTCAAACAGACTGAATACACATCTCACTTGGGAAATTCTTATTTAGTTAATTCCAGGAAAAAGCTCCATCTTTGAAGATTTTTTTTTTTAAGTTTTATTTTTTTTGGTCGGAAAATGGAAAGTATGCAACAATGTGTTTTCTTTTCTGCCTTAACTGCCAGAAAGCTTAGAGCCAAATTTAGTAATAACCTAATCTTAGGAGCTTGGCAGCATCTATCTTCTCTACTTCCTGTAGTTGATATCTGTTCTTTTTTTTCATTGCTAATTTATGTATTCTACATTTTTTAAATTGGGAACTACTGTAAACAATCTTGGGGGAAGGAATGGCCATTTGTTTTCATGTGCACTTGATTTGACATATATGTGCTTGAATTATCCTGGCTTGAATGAGAAAGGAATGAGATGAAAGTAACTGGTTTTCAAGATCTTTGAGATGGGAAAGCATGCAGGGAGCAGAGCAAAACAATGAAATAGATCAAAGGGTTTGGGAAAATAGTTCCTGAAGATGCTTTAATGTACTTACTGTTGTCAGTGTATCACAGGCTGAGCATGAAGTCTTTTGGAAATGCCCTACTGATGGGCCTGTAGCTGTGCCCAAAGAATTGAGATTTGGCAGGCTGCTTCACTGTGAGTCTCTGTTACCTTGGAGAAGGAATGGCATTGAATTATCTCTTGTCCATGTGGTGCTTTTCGTCAGCCCCATTTTTCTTTCTCTTACCATTTGTCATAAATTACAATGTGCCAAGAGCAACAAAAGGTAACTTTCTGCTTCCAGCTGAGGTGACTACACTCAGTAATGGTCTGATGCCGGCTAGGATCTACCATCCAGGTCTTTCCAACCCTTAGAATTTTGTTGGACGGCTTGAAGCTCTGTTCATTTGCAGAGCAAATGCCGTAGGGGGTCAGGAGAAAATATGCCTTCCTCCTGGTCTCCAAGATTAGACCCTCGGTGTCTGTTGATAAGCTATGTGATCACATGGAGAGTTTTGAGATCATTCAACTGCTCAGGAGAAAGGTGCTTATCAATTTTTTTAAAAATTACATAAACAGAAATATAAATGTATAAAGAGTTTTCCTCGTTAAAGAATAGATTCCTGCTGTTTTCATATTTCCTATATAAATTACTCTTCCTAACTAAAATAAGTTTCAAAATTTTGCCTTTTGAAAAGATCGGCTCATGCTCTGTGGATTTTAATACAGGAATGGCCTGTTTGAGAGTCACTGAGGTGGGATGTCTGGCTGTGAAGACCTGTCTGCTTTCTGTTTTTACTGAACACACTTACACGTTTGTTTACAAAGGTTTAACACACTTAATCAATGCAATTGCTTAAAATATAATTAAATTAAATAATTTTTTGAACATTATATTTATTTTAGGTTGGAGGCAAGAAATTGCCCTTACTCTGAAAATGTATTTGTCTTTGGGAAAGTGCTAAAGGAAATATGTAGCTAATGATACTGTTTGATCACTAGGCTAGCACTAATTAGCTACTTTTCTTCTGAAGACTAAATTTACTACAGTTGTGTTTAATTATGCATGTGGAAGTTTCCAGCTATGAGTCTTTCGTGTAATTTAGAAAAACAGAGAAAAATCCATTTTTGGTGAAATAAGCATCAATGCCAGTTTTGATGTGAAGATCTGAAGTCTTATGAAACTAACTTAATGTATTTCTAAAATGCTGGTGCTCATATATGAAGGGTGAGCACTATGGGCAACTTTGGAAAGATTCTCTACATTAAAAGATTTTTAGGAATTGGTATTATACACACAGGATAGGCTTAATGACTGGCCATTAGATTGAGGAATGGACAGGAGAGCAGTGCCGGATTATACAGTAAGGTATATTATGTTATTTAGTCCCAGATTATAGTATGTCAGAGGGAGAAAACACATGTTGAACCTAATGAAGCATATTAATAACCTCAGCTCCTTCACCTAATCCCTCTCCGTCCGTGCCTTACTGCTGTTTAGACTGGGAGGCGCGCATTGACAGCCACGGGAGAATCTTCTATGTGGATCATGTGAATAGAACCACGACGTGGCAGCGACCAACAGCTCCCCCGGCCCCACAGGTGCTGCAGAGATCTAACTCCATACAGCAGATGGAGCAGCTGAACCGGCGGTGAGGATGGACATTTTGCTGTTATTCTATTTTGTGGTTGGGCTAATTTTTACATGGTGCAAAGTAGAAGACACGGTTGTCTCTTTCATCTTTGCATGTCCTGTCATTAAGCTGTAGCCATTACCTCTTTTAATTCATAGACTTCATTGGACTTCTCTTGGTTAAAAAAACAATACCCACACATATGCACACCTTGTCTGGAAACAAGAGGACATAAATAAAGATAATCCCTTTAGTCAACTGAAGGCATTAATTTTTAGCAAAGCAGAACATACACATTTATGATTTGAAGCCAAGATCTTTTCTAATTTCTAGAGTCTTCATTTGTGGTGTATCTTTATTATCAACCTAAGCTTTTTAAATCAGTTCTTTTTCAAGAATTAATTGCTATGGAACATAAAGTTGGTTTTTGTCCTTTAACAATATAGGAATTTAGGCTAGGCGTGGTGGCTCATGCCTATAATCCTAGCACTCTGGGAGGCCGAGGCAAGAGGATTGCTCAAAGTCAGGAGTTTGAAACCAGCCTGAGCAAGAACGAGAAACCGACTCTACTAAAAATAGAAAGTAATTAATTGGCTAACTAAAAATATATAGAAAAAAATTATCTGGGCATGGTGGCACATGCCTGTAGTCCCAGCTTCTTGGGAGTCTGAGGCAGTAGGATCACTTGAGCCCAGGAGTTTGAGGTTGCTGTGAACTAGGTTGATGCCACAGCACTGTAGCCCCAGCAACACAGTGAGACTCTGACTCAAAAAAAAAAAAACAATATAGGAATTTAGTTTTTATTGGTTAAGGGCAATAAAATGTTTGTAGTGTTATTAATTTGTCAGGAAGATGTCCACAAACAATGGACAGAAGAAATTTAATGCAATGTAATTTATGTAAACAACAGATGGCCCATCCAGAAGGTCAGGAATGGGGACGTGGGGAGGAAGCAGTTGAGACTGAGAAGATAGTGAAAACTTCTGGGCCCTAGGAGAGCAGTTGAGTACTGCCTTTTAGATGCTGCTGGAATATAACTCTAGGTTCATGATTTTAGGTATCAGAGTATCCGCAGAACCATGACCAATGAGAGGCCCGAGGAAAATACCAATGCTCTTGATGGGGCAGGGGAGGAATCCGACTTTCACCAAGCCAGTGCAGGTAAGAGCCTTGGGCTTTGTTTGTTTCTGTAATCTCATGAAAGTAGAAAAGAAGTAAGTAAGGATTCCCAATAAATTAGGCTTTTCTTTTAAAGAACTTTTGATCTTCAATTAGATTTGGTAATCTAACTCAAAAAGCAAAATTCACCAGAAACTTCCTCTAATCTTCAATATTTTATTGGTACTAAAAAACGAATCACAAAACTGAATAGAATATAAGTTACTTTAATCTCTGGGTCTATGGAACAGTGGAAAAAGAATCTAATCATTTAAAAAAAATCAAAGGATTCATTAAAATGTTAACAGTGACTAGAAATATTTTCTAATTCCATTTTAATGTGATTAAGAACAGTTAAGTTTTATGTATGAATTTACAGCAAAGAAAAAGTATTAAGGGATTAAAATTATAGCAAATGATATAGGTATCTTTTGGTTCTTTTGAAGTATAGACTGAAGTGAATAGATAGTTTCCAACTCATAGAAAGAGTTCTCTGAAAGCCTTGGTTGTCTGTCCCATCTAGATTTCCGACGGGAGAACGTCCTGCCTCACTCTACCTCCAGATCCAGGCTCACATTGCTGTTACAGTCTCCCCCCGTGAAGTTCCTCATCAGCCCAGAGTTCTTCACCGTGCTGCATTCTAACCCTGTGAGTAGCAAATCTGAAAGAATATGATGGAAAAAGCAACGGGCCAAAGAAAACTATCCGCATTTATGTAATAGCAGTAAGAATGATAATGGCAAATATTTCCTGAGCACTTAGTGTGTCCCAAGTTCTGTGTTGAGCACTGTATATTTTAGTCCAAACAAACAAAGTCCATGGAGCTTCTATAACAAACTACCATAAACTGGGTGGCTTATAAATGGCAGAAATTTATTTATTACAGGTCTGGAGTCTGGGAAGACCAAGACCAAGGCACCAGCAGATTTGGTGTCTGGTGAGGATCTGTTTCTTTCTTTTTTTTGAGACACAGTATTACTCTGTTGCCCAGGCTAGAGTGCCATGGCGTCAGCCTAGCTCACAGCAACCTCAAACTCCTGGGCTCAAGTGATCCTACTGCCTCAGCCTCCCCAGCCTAGCTCACAGCAACCTCAAACTCCTGGGCTCAAGTGATCCTACTGCCTCAGCCTCCCGAATAGCTGGGACTACAGGCATGTGCCACCATGCCCAGCTAATTTTTTCTATATATTTTTAGTTGTCTATTTAATTTATTTCTATTTTTAGTAGAGACAGGGTCTTGCTCTTGCTCAGACTGGTTTTGAACTCCTGACCTTGAGCGATCTGCCCGCCTCGGCCTCCCAGAGTGCTAGGATTACAGGCATGAGCCACCGTGCCCGGCTAAGGACCTGTTTCCTTGGCCATATTCTCCCTGGGTCTTCACATGGTAGAAGGGGTGAGGGGGTCTCTCGCAGGCCTCTTTAATAAGGGTACTAATTCCTAATCACCTCTGAGGTCCCCTCCTACCCAACCTCCTAATGTCATTATGTTGGTGATCAGGTTTCAACATATAAATTTGGGGGACACACACATTTGGGGGACAAGACCATAATAGCATGGTTACCCACAGGTCTCTGAGGGCTAAGGCAGTGACTTGCTGAAAGTATTAATTGGAGGAAGCCTGCACATGGAGTGATTTAAAATGAGGGAAACATTGGCCATGAAAGTCCAGCTGGACATAACCCATTCATCATGGCATATGTTGATCAGAGCCTGGACGTGGAGATAAGGAAATAGAGAAGACGCATCTAGCATGAGAGGAATCACAGGCAGAGAGTTGGCAAGATTTGGAGGGTAAATAGATACAATAGAAACTGAAGAAGGCAAGCCTTCTTCATTTTAAAAGTTAATAATACATAAATGATGACTAACAATATATAGTTAATAATAGTAAGGAAGTTAGAATTAAGGACTTGTTAGAGAAATGGAAGGAGAACATATTGACTTCAATGAGATGGATTATACATCTTAGGAAAAGTAGAGTAGACCACAGGGAAAAATAGAAGTCAGCATCGTCATATGACTAGGAATTGTTGGTGAGGTCATTAGTATGTACATATTTATTGACTTAATACATTTCTGCCTTACTTCATTAGCTTTGCTTTATAAGTATAAGCATCTGTTTGTCTTTACTCCTTATTATCTCCTGGTTTACAGGTTTAACTCAGAATAAAGCAGACTTGGAAGGAGGGTGAGCAATGAATAACATGCTAGCTGTCCTCATAGATAATGCAAGAGGGGTTAGACTTACTGTGCATTCAATTTAGCAACAGCTTGTTTATTCTCTATTATGTACTAAGCACCAGGCTAAGTCCTAGAAATATAAAGATGACAGCAACTGTGGGCCCTGGCATCCCAGACTTCAAAACACATTATAATGCTATGACCAGAGTTACAAGGGAAGACACATGGAAGGAGCCATAGATAGGTTTGCATTTGTGATCGGTTTTAAAGGCCGAATAGGAGCTTGTCCTGGAAACAAGATGGGCAAGAGCACCCCAGGTAGAAGGAGCAGCATTTGTAAAATAAGAGATTCATGAAGCTACAGGCTGTCTTGATAATGACTGCAGAAGGACTAAAACTAGACTATTAGTACTGTAAAGCAGTGTGGTATTGCTGGTGTGCTGAGAGCATAGAACACTAGTGAAAGTCAGAATTAAGCCTAGAAAGGTAGACAGAAGGCAGGTTACACAAACCTAAACTTGTACATGGGACAATTCTATGAGGTGACAAAGAAGAATGGGCTAGCATTTAGAGTTGTCACTGTAACACAGAAAGTATCATGCTGTAGTAGGATATCACAGGCTTCCTTTTGTTTTTTGTTCATTCGTTCATGCATTCATTCAACCAGTATTTACTAAATGCGTGTGATTTGCCTTGCATTCTTGACTCTGGGGATACAATGGTAAACAAGACAGAGAGGAATATATTAATAAATAATAGACTAGTGAATGAAAAAGATAATTCAGATAGTGCAGTGTGGCATGAGGCAACTGAAACAATACACTAGGACAAAGGATGTGGGGATGACATGGAGGAGGCACTGTTTCAGTTGGGTGGATGGGAAGGCCTGTCCAGGGGAGCCACATTTAAGCTATTGTAAAATGCCAAGAAGCTGGTAAGGTAAAGGTCTGGAAATGGAACCCTACTTGCCGAGGAAGAGAGCAGAGGGTCAAGGGCAGGAATGAGGTTGATGTGGTACGTAATGAAGTCAGAGAAGTGAGCAGGGCTGCAGAATGTAGGGTGTGTATGATCTGGCAAGGCATTCGGGCTTTATTCTAAATGGATTCTATTCTAAAAGAGTTTCCTATATGGGAGTAATTTAGATTTTTGAAAGTTCCTTCTGGCTGCTAGGTAGAAACTGGATTTTAGAGGGCAAGGTTAACATCAGGGAATGGAGGGAAAAGGCCCTGTGGTGAGACATGGAAGTGTCTTAGACTCGTGCAGTAGAAATGGTGACAAGTGATGAATATGGAATATTTTTGGGGAGAGAGCTGATATTTTTGCTAATAGATTAGAATGTAGGAATAAGAGAAAAAAGGTCTTCAAGAAAGAGCAACAGATTGAATGGTAATGTTCATGGATTTTCTGATAAATGTTTAACCACCAGCTTTCTGGGAAAAAAGTGTGCATTTGTATTTGTGTGTGTTACATGTGGTATATATATTAATGTATATACATGTATGCATATGTACACATATACATATTTCACATGTTTATATTCATTATAAAATTTTCTGATACAAAGGATACATAGCATAAATTTATAAATAATAATAAAATAGACACTGAATGCTTTTGTTGATTTTTTTTTTGCTGAACTCTTATGTCAGTAGCCAACCTACAGTGGTAAGTGATGAACAAGTATAGTTGCAACAGGACTATCTCTGTTTGGGTTAATGAGTAAGACAACAGTGAAACAAGGGAGACATGTTGGAGCTTCACACTCCTTTGTCAATGAGGTCAGTACAGTACCTTCTTTGATAAGCCAAATAATAGTTTTTGAATACTGGACTTACGTATCTTCATTTTGTGTGTGTGTGCTATTCACAATGTAACAGCACAATTTAAACTTCATCTGCATTTTTACCATTTTATTTTCTCCATTAATTTCTTAAGTCTAGACTTGACGTTGAGAAAAATAAAGCAAACTTTTTTGTAAAGGGCCAGAGAATAAATATTTTAGGCTTTCAGGACAAGAACAAGCCTGTACATAGATGGGCCTAGCTGTGCTCCAATGAAACTTTGTTTACAAATACCGTAGGTTTCCCACCCCTAGTCTAGACAGCCCACAAAACAAGAAATCAAGCCCTTCTTTTGCATTTCCTGATTACTACAGTGTTAAGACTCCCCTCTATGGCCAATTTAAAGCTACCAGTGATGTCACTACACATGAAGTTCTACTTCTCTATATGAGCTGCGTTCTTTTATGCAAGTTCCATGTCACTGCAGTGTTTCAAGTAGAGGCTAGATTAATTGTCATTGGGTTATGGTATAAAGCTGCAGTTTTTAAATTTGGTAGATTTTTAAAAATAAATGCATATTCTTGGTTTCCAAACCTTAGAGCTTCTGGTTTAATACATCTGGAATGGGTCCCAGGAGTCTGTTTTTGTTTCTCTCTGTTTTAGGCCCCTTAAGTGATTCTGATGGAATTGGTCTGTGGCTTGTAATTTAGCAACGCCAAAGAGATGTTGCATTAAATGAGCTCACTGCCTTTCTTACAACTATAGCTCATCAGGACTTTTGATAACTAACTTGTTTTAACAGTGTGAAAATACTGTTAAAAATCATCTTGCAGGGTTTTTTTTTTTTACTTACTTTGCTTTCATGTTGTTGTTGTGTTTCCTTTTTCTTTAGTTGGGCATGATTTTAGAATTTCTTTTGCACAGCCTATCTTGATTTCAAAATATTCTTTTTAATGTAGTTTAATGTTTTTCTTCCTCTTACCTGAACTGCCTTCATACTGGCTAAAAAGGTGATCCATGCTGTGCATCTATACATTTCTATAAGATTTAAATTTTGTGGGTTTAGGACGTCTTATTTCCCTGACTTATATATGGCAGACATTAAAGTCGCTGGATTTTTCTTGCTGAAGGTCTCAAGGTATGAATTAATGGAAATAACTAAGACAATTTTTTTATAAAGAGCATTACTTGCTGAAATTTCTTCTTTTTTCCTAGATTAGCAGAAAATGTTGTAAAACAAACTTTTATTTGATCTCTCTATTTTAAGATTTATTGTCTGTGTTTTTTCCTTGAATTGTTTATGATCTGTAGCTGTTTCAGTAGATTTCTTGTTTCTATTTTTGAAAATGTTCAACATGCAAAAGGAATATGTTTAGAAGTTTTCCTCATTTTCTTGTTATGATTTGATGGTATCAGTTTATGTTGATAGTCATGAAAAATAGATTATATGTAGCCATAATATCTAATAATCTTTATTGAAAAGAAAAAATAGATATATGGTTGTCATAACTCTAAAGGAAAACAAAATTTTGGTGGTTTTTTTTTTCTTTTTCTTTTTTGTGTTGTGGTTGCTTTAAGAATTATTCTACTGCCCTCTTCTGGTTGTGATCAGATTTCTTTCAAAATTGTCCTAATAAACTACTTCTCCTTTCAGCTCAAGATTTAGTTATTCGTGCCATGTCTTTT